AGCTGCTTTGGTGCTAATGAAATCAACAACAGGTACACTAGAAGGGCAATGGTGCGACAAAACAGGAATGTTTTACAGGTTGAGGCAACCGAGATTTTTCCTTCCTCATCTTTTCTGACTAGTTTTGTATTTGGCTGGGATCAGTGTCACTACTGGTAGCATGAGGTGATATCAGGACTATGCAGAGGTTGGAGAAATAGTCCAACTTCTCCAGGATGGGACATCAATATGTGACATTGCCAGAAGGTTTGCTGTGTCTCCCAGCACAGTCTCAAGAGCATGGAGCAGGTTCCAGGAGACAGACAGTTACTCTAGGAGAGTGAATGGGGCCATAGAAGGCCTTTAACCTATCAGCAGGGCCTGTATCTGCTCATTTGGGATAGGAGGAACAGGATGAGCACTGCCAGAGCTACAAAATGACCTCCTGTAGGCTAAAAACCAACTTTCCAACATCTTCTAGTCGGTCCTATGCTCACTGCCCAGCACTCTGGAGCCTCATTGTCATTGCCATAGAATACCAGAATTGACAGGTCCACCACTGGCCGGTGTACCATCTGTGCTTTTCACAGATGAGAGAAGGTTCACCCTGAGCACAGGTGACAGACATAAAAGCATCTGGAGAAGCCATGGAGAACATTATGCTGCCCGTAACATCATTCAACATGAATGGATTGGTGGTGGGTCACTGATGGTCTGGGGAGGCATATTCATGAAGGGATACACAGACTAGACAGGGTAGGTGACAGCCCCCTGACTGCCATTAGGTATTGGAATTAACTTCTTGGAGTTCCTTAATGGGGTGTGCTCCTTCATGATAGGAGGATCAGGATGAGCTACAAAATGACCTCCTGTAGGCCAAAAACAGATTTACACAGGACCTTATAATAATAATGGATTGCATTTATACAGCGCTTTTTGGGGCCCTTAAAGTGCTTTACAATTCCACTATTCATTCACACACTGGTGGAGGCAAGCTACAGCTGCCCTGGGGCAGACTGACAGAAGCGAGGCTGCCATATCGCACCATTGGCCCCTCTGGCCATCACCAGTAGGGTAAAGTGTCTTGGCCAAGGACACAACAACCGAGACTGTCTGAGGCGGGGCTCGAACCGGCAACCTTCCGATTACAAGACGAACTGCCAACTCTTGAGCCACGATCGCCCTTATGCAGGTGCAGTTGATCCTGGGTTCCTCCTTGTAGGCAACGGTACCTGGAGGATGAATGAATTGATACCATTGACTGGTTCCTACACTCATCTGACCTAAATCCAACAGAACACCTCTGGGATGTTACGTTTCGG